ATGTGATTCGATGCTCCGTTGTCGAGATACCAAATATCTTTCTCCTTTGGTTCAACCTCGAAACGCTTCGGAATCACCCCTTCTTCATTTAGAAAGACATTCTCTTGATCACATCTCATCATGAACAAAGATGGATCCAGAACATCAATTTCAGCTAAATTAGCTTCCTCTTGTTTCTTCGTACGCTCCGGGCACACTGATGCAAAGTGACCGAATTTATCACATCGAAAACACTGAACCTTTGATCTATCCTTTCTTCCTTTCTGACGATCATTGGTTCTTCTTTCACCTGTTCGTTTTGATCCATGATCGTGACCATCTCGGTATTGACTTCCATCTTGGTCATCATCATCCTGGTCTTGGTCTCTTCCTCGACCTTGGTTGCATCGGCTTTGTCCTCTCGATCCGTTTTCTCCCCTTTGAGAATGAGAGCTTTCACCATTGGAGAATAATAGTTTACTCTGTGTTTCTATATCCTCTTCATTGATTCGTTCTTCGTAGGCTTTTAACCGGCCTATCGTTTCTTGAAATCCTAGTTTATTCAAATCTAGAACTTGTTCCAACGAGGCGACTATATGAATGTATTTCGAACGAGGAAGAGACTTTAGAAACTTCTTTACCATCTTTTTTTCTTCGATCTCTTCTCCAAGGGCTACGGATTTTGAGGCCAAACTTGATAACTTCTCAGTAAATTCATCAATTGACTCTGAATAATGCATCTTCAAATTATCAAATTCCGCATTTAGGGTTTGGAGACGAGCTTCTCTAACCCTCTCAGCCCCCAAGTGACGAGTTTTGATTGCATCCCACAGATCCTTCGCAGTCTCCTCATTGCCTACTTGCAATATCAGATTTTCTGGAATTGATTGAAACAACAGTGCCGTAGCCATATCATTCTTCTCGGCATCAGCTGCGCCTGGTTCAATCGTTTCCCACACCTTATGAACCCTTAAGACGACTTTCATTCTCATGGCCCATACGGTGTAGTTCGTAGCGTTTAGCATGGGACATTGGACAGCTGTAAGCCCAACTCCCTTAACCTTCGGTTGTGGTGTCTCAGATTCTGTCATATTTTTCTTACGTCGACTGTACGTCAAGAGTGGTGTAACAGGATCCAGTACTTGAGTTTAAAAGAAATTTGATTAAACCTTACTTGTTTAATCCAATCCTTATTTCATGAAATCAGGCCCACCACAATAATTTCAATCTTGGCCCAGACCACCAAACAGAGCCCAATCCAATCCAAACAAAGAAAAAAAGGTTGACCACTGCTCGATCCCCTTCCTGAAAACAACGCGGCGGTCTGACCTATTGCATGGCGGCACCAATTCGGAATTGCAGCGGCACTTTGGCGGAGTCGCGACTGGGAGACGGCGGCAGCTTAGCGACCAGGCTGTGCGCGTGGTTGGACGACGATTGCTCTGTGCGTGGTCGGCAGCAACTTCACGCGGGACGGCTTTCAGATCCTTCGGACGGCGACCTGCTGTGCGCATCAGAATCTGGACGGCGACCTGTGTGGATTCCAGCAGCGGCGAGACCTCTGCTGCTAGGCGGTGGCGGGACCTGGGCTGTGACGACTGGATGCGGCGGCGCACTGACGGATTAGCGGCAGCGATCTCCTCGAACGAGCGGCGTCTATCTCCTCGAACCAGCGGCGTCAATCTGAGGACGACGACGACTCCTCAACACGGCGCGGCTCCTTAACTCGGCGGCGGCGGCAAGTTCAATCTCGGATCCGGACAGCTGCGACGGCGGCTCCAACCTTAGGCTTGGATCGGCACGCCTGCAACGGTGGTGAAAGTTTTTTTCTTTCAATTTGTTCTTTGAACAATCTAGCTCTGATACCAATTGTTGGAAACAATCTCTTTATTACAATTGGAAAATAACTCAAAACCAATTACAATAAACTCTCATACGTTTCTCATATGGCTCTCATATCAAAACCCAAGGCTTGGCTATGATATATATAGTTATGATATATATAGTGTTAACCCAACTTGGCCAACAAGTAATCTAGGAACCATAATTCTATTCCTACTTGAACTAGAATATCTCGGGTAATCCTAATCCTACTCGATAATTAGTCAACAAATACCTCATGTGTTATGGTAAAAATGCATCATTGTCCTTCATGGTTTCAAAACTTACGTCGTTATCCTTTATGATTATGATTTTTCTACGCCGATGCGCCTCTAAACTAAAATTCCCTTTTTTATTTATTGTTTTTTTCTTCTCTTTTTTAATCAACGTTTGTAAGTTATTTTTCAAAACTATTTTTTAAATTGTTTCAAAAAATAAAAAAATTAACATATTTCTATTTTTTGTTTAAAAAAACTTATTGTTTTTTTAGAATCCGTTGGAACCAAAGTAATACAAAGTAAGATCTTTTTAATTTTAAGTCAATTATATATTCATAAAAAGTTTTTGCACTGATGTCCAACAAATTTTCCTCATGATTTAATTTGAATCGTTTCTATAAAGGTATTTTTTTCATATACTTTTAATTTTATTTTTTTCTTTTCTATTCTCTTTTCTTTTATTTCAATTTTAATTTTGATTAAAATAAAAAAAATAAAAAACTAGAAAAGCAAAACAAAAAATAAAAGAAAAAAACCAGAAAATGAATAAAAAATGCAAAATGAGCTTCACTGAATAAAAGAGAAAATGAAACATTGATTTTTGTTTCATGAAAAATTAACTAGAGTAATAAAGACCTTTTGGGACAAAAAATGAAAATGTATAATTTCAGACAAATGAAGTGTACATTAATTCTATTTATTTCATTGATTTTTTTTGAAACACAAAATTTTAATTTTTAAAACATTATAAAAAATAGTTTAAAAAAATAAAAACATTTATGTAAAAAGAGAAGAAAAAAGAAGAACAATAAAGAAAAAAAGAGAGGAAACAATAGAACCCATTTCCAATACCATAGAGGGGGGGGGGGGG